TTTCTTTAGTCCTATGGAGTTGAAATTGGTTACTACACAAACGTATACGATTGGAGCCAGATCACAAAGAACACACCTGTACTTAAAGCCAATACCTTGCTTTGGTGAGTCGAGAAGACTGTTACATCCTATCTCGCAAAAGCTTGAAGAGTTATCTCCAACTTCAGGTATTGGAACATCAATGGCGCTGGACCCAGCGGTGAAACCCCAGCAAACTTCAACGATTTCCGAGCATTCGGAGGATTTACGAAACCAATGGTGAAACAATTCGGACAATCGGAAAGCATCTGTGGTGTTATGGCTAACAGGTACCGAAACAGAAACAATAAAGCTGCAGACAGTAACGAACAAATCTCTAATTTTCTTCTAGGGACGTCTACTCCACAGGCGCTAAAAAATTCTTCTCTATTGCTGAGTCGAAGAACGGTGTGCTCACTGTCGGTGGCCTCAACTGAAAGACGGCTTCTACTTGCGGGATCGGAATCTTAAATCTCAGTAAATTTTGAAATGTAATTTTATAAAAACAAATAAAAGATCTCTTTTTTCGTGCAGAGCCACATGGGAGATAAGTGGTCTATATTCCGTGTCTTTAAAGTGCAAACTCATTATCAGTTGAAGGTAAAAAAAGCAATACTATGGAATGATACAAAACACAAATAAGAACGAAAAACTGAAACACACTTGCAAATTTTAGAAAAGTTACTTATGATGTTATAATAAGCAATTCATATTGCCACTTAGCAGTAATTCAGTTATTTATGAATGCAAAATTTTGATTAGCTTTTGGTACAATAACATGATAAAATTTTCGAGACTGTCCTCAAGAGGAATGAAAGCGTACTAGGGTAGTGACAGAGAGATGAAAACTGAGGGACAATCCGGCTCCTGTGAGCGTTCTCACTTAAATGTGTTATTTTTTATTATGAAGATATATAGCTTCGCAGAACATAGCATGCACTTGTAGCACTCTTTCACAACTCCTTGCAAAGACTTTTTGTACTCGTAACATAGCGTCAGTTTGCTTTATCTTGAAAAGAAGACAAAGCAAACTTTCATCGCAGTGTTGTCGCTTTGACAGTTGCTTTATTCGTTAGTCGTGCGCATGGTGAAGGCTTTTTTACCTATTTTTCGCTATTTTCTGGCTTTATTTGTCTTTAGCGAAAAGTCCGGCTTCCAATTTGCACCATAAAGAAGAGTTTCTCTTTCCGACTATCCCTTCAATTTATGCGAGATACTGTCAACATTGTAACATAAACAAATGTTAAATGAAAAAGCATGCTCAAACTTCAGCGGCAAGTGGAGGGCATGCTGAAATTCGTTTTTTGTGAAAAACGGTTAGGATCTGGGTCGAGTGAGCTTGGACTTCATTCTCAAATATAACTAATTCTTCAGCAACAAGAATGTTGAAGCCCCTTCCCTTCCTGCGCGGACGTTCATGCATGCGGCCTAAGTATTTTTGTGTTATTCAGTAGCAAATTCAGAGTGATTCCATACACACCTTAAGACCGTTCAAAAACTTGTTCCAGCAAAGATTCAATGTTTGTTTCAAAAAGGGGTTCACGCGGAAAATTTAGACGAGTTTCATGAAAAAATCAGACAAACCCGTTTTTCTAAGCGAATAAGCAATGAACAGCCCCAATATTGGCGTATAGATGCGCAACAAAGAGTAGAAGAAGTGTTTGAAACATCGCTGTACCTTTGTA